GTAATTGAAAGAATTCAAAATTCAGATGCTTCATTTGGCAAACTCTCTATTCTTTCATATCAAATGTAAGCATGGGATTTTCATAGCCATAACACATATAAACTCAATAAGAAATGATGGTGTCTATATGGAAACGTGCATGTATAATTACCATATTCATTGCATACTTTTGTTGGTATTTAAAATAAATAGTAAATTCAATATATTCTTACAAGTCTTAGAGAACACTAGCCAATTAATAAAAATAAAATTATGCCCTAATATTTGTGAATTATGTTTAAATGCCTTACAGTACAGTTTATTCATAAGAAATATGGACTCACTGTAGGTTATTTTTTTAATTTTGATTTTAATAGAGCCTTTTATTATTAGCCATACTGCATGTTAAATACTGTACCTTCAATTATTACAAGCATCAATGTTAATTTTAAAGAGCCTACACAATGACAGAAACTGTGTTCATGTACTTTTGCTCTGATAACCTTTAGTAATCTATTAAAAGTTGAAAATTCAACATTTTTTCTTCCAGTAATTTACAAGATTTTTAAAAAATTTATATATTGTATAACATCTAACATGTAAAGACAACCTCATTATATAAGAGTCTCTTTTACCAACTAGTATAAATGAATGTTAAAATACAAGGAAGAGTGACAGAAAGACCATTATAAATTCTATTTTGGTATTATAATAGAGATAATATGCTGCAATTTAGTTTAATGATTTGCAATTAAAAAACTGTTTCAAGAGTTGCATGTGATTTTTTAATTATTAGTTATTAGTTGTTCCTGCATATGTATATTTTAAATCACATTATTTTGGCCATAGTAAATGATTAAAACTCTTCAATATATTAATATTTTATCTTTATAGAATCAGTAAAATTTGAAAGGAAGTACATCACTTTTCAACTCCCAGCATTTGGGCATTGTATATGATCATTTTAAGGAGAATTATTACTTGTGCAATAAGGGAACATATGCCTGTACATGTAATTTAGTACCTGGACTTATTTTTACATATAATTTGTACACCTCTACTCATATATGTGGTTTAGGTGTATTTTGACAAGAAAATAGTGGAAAAATTTAATAGGATACATTTATACATCCATTTTATATCCTAATATAGTATTAAAGAGCAATCTGTGATTTAATATACTAGTTAGCTAACACTACAATAAAACTGAAAATTGGGTGGATTAACAAGCCTACATTAGTTTTGTTTTGTTTTGTTTTTTTTTCACAGTTCCGGAAACTAGAAATCAATACAAGATGCCAGAAAATTCCTTCTTGATGGATGGAGAATAGCTGCCTTTTCTGCATTCTTGGGCACCTCCTCTCTGCTCTCACAGCTCTGGAACTTGTTTTGCCTTGAGTTTTCAGATATAAGACTCAAAGAAATACTGCAAGTTCTTTGGTTTCTCCTCCCCTTCTTGTAGCAGCCCCCTTGTTTTAGAGCCACCACCTTCTGAATCACTGAAACACCTCTTCCAAATACAGGTATCTTGGGGGTTAAGACTTCAAGGTAAATTTTGGAAAAGACAGTTCAATTCATAATATGTTACTTGATACTGTTTCATGCAATTACTTCATGAAAAAGTGAAGTAATTACTGTAGGATCATGTGACATGAAAATATCTACTTTCTTTTAGAGGAAAATGAAAATCTAATGAAATTAGTTTTGATTTTAGAATGTTTTAAAAGTTACATCTTTACCTTCACTTTATAACACACATGGCAGTTAGCTACGGAAAGTTTAAAAATGTGTAAAATATAAAAGCAATATTATTATATTTTGCTTTCTGTTTAAATATTTAAAAATGATAAGTATCTCAACAGCAAATGTAGAGTGTTGTTAAATGGAGAAATATCTTAATATGTGAAGAAACTAAAAACATCATCTTCATAAACTTCCTATAAAAATTACATCTAATACCAAATGCAAAGAGTTTGATCACAAATATCACTAGGAAATCTAAAGTATTTCAATCAAGCATTCATATTCTTAATGTCACACATACCATGACATCATATTGTATTAAGGCATTTTTTGCAATTACTCTAAAGATATTTAAAAACCAATATGTAAGCTTAATATAATTGAAGGTCACACTTGTATGTTTATGGATTTCATGCTTAAGTAGTTGTTTAAATACTTTTGCATATAATAGCTTTTTATAATAGCTCCCAGACCCTATTACACATTGTCAGTACAGTGGGAGATCAATAAATAAATATGTGTTCAAGAAAAAAAATGCAAGATTTCCTTTCAAGTCATGTAGTCTCCAACTTTTTATAAATTATTTGTTTCAGCTTGCATATCTCTTTATTTATTTCAACTAATACTTAGGATATTTAATAACTTTCATGTGGAAATATGATCTCTAATCTCTTCTAAATAGCTGTACTCAATTATGATCACTTCTATATTTTATGTATAACACTTCCATATTTCTAATGTTGACAGAATATTGCTGTTCATAGCATTAACATTATTAATTTTAGAAATACTAATGCAATTAGCATGGATATTATAAACTTTAGCCATTGTTTTTATTCCAATTTTATGCTCCACAAAACTAGATTTTTAATAACAGCTAATACTGATAAAGTTTCAAAATTATTCTGTAAAACTTGAAATCAAGAGAATGATTTAATAGTACTTGTACCAGAGGTTATTCTAGGGCCTCTCTGTGGCAAGCTCACCAAACACTGTTCCATACTTTATCCTCTGTCTTTCAGGGGTATCATTATTTTTTTTCTCTTTTCATTTTGTTTTTTGTTTTGCTTTTTTTAAATTTCTTTCCCTAATTCTGAGATTTTTAACTATTTTGGAAATATTTTGGCAATATTTTCTCTTTAAAATAAGAAGTATATTTGGTGGATGCATATTGAGGCCATACTCTTAAGTGAAATAAATGAGTCACACATGTGTAAATACTGAATAGTTTCTCTGGTGTGAAAAACTAAAGGTGTAAATACCATCCAAATGGTATAATTGACAACATGAAATAGGAAGAAAAGGCTAAAGGTGTAGGGGAAGTGGGAAGGGTAGGGGAAAGCAAACAAAGGAAAAGAAAAAAGTATGAGAAAAGGAAAGAAATTTTTGTAAATAGTGAAGGGAGGAGGGAGTGAAGAGAGGGAAAGGGCAAGAGGAGAAAATGAGAACCAAGACCTGTCATGTAAAGGCACAAGATTTCAATGACGAATGTAACTGTACACCTAAAATGTACCAATAAATTCAATGAGGAAACAAAAGAATCAATAAACTCAATGGAAAAAAAAGCGTACATTTGGAAGGATAAAATTCTACTATGGTGTGAGACAAATTTTAAAAATACATTGGATCTTTAACTTATGAACTTAATTAGTTCCCAAAGGCTGGTCGTAAGTCAGCTTGGTCAGTTGAAGGCCCAGGCTTCTCTACTCAGCCTTCAAACCCTCTCTCCTGGGTACAGGCAGATCTCAGTGTCCTTAGGGAGATATTGGCCCAGGGGTTCTCACTTAACTTCCCACAGGAAAGTATGATGTAATTGTTCCTTCCAGACTCTTTGAGTGTTAAATCTGTATCTGAGACCATCTGAATATATGTGGCCAACCTTTGAGTCTTAACTCAAGACTTTGGTCATAAGATAAAACTAAAATTATGGTCATAGCCCAAGTTGTTCCTATGTCAAGCTGGACATAATTTGAGGGTTAACTGTACCATGAAATATTCTTGAAATATCAATATATTAAATAAATTCCCTAACAAAAATGATTTATTTAACTTTTTAATATAATGTATACCAAAATAATTTTCCAATATAACATTTCTTGTTTCCTTAGGAGTCATGCATGTTGTGAGTAACATACATAGGGAAATAGAAGTGTACAACTCTCAAGTTATTTTTCTGAATCATAGTACTTAGGAAGGGAAGATCTGCTGAACATAACAGAATTTTATGAAAATAGGCCACTTTAAGACCAAACAATATACAGTTTGTACAAAAGCAATCCTATATGATAAAGAAAAATCTGAGGCAGTCCAAACACATAAGATAACACTAGGAGGGGCCTGGGGTTTAGTTCAGCGATGCCACTGCTTGCCTTGCAAGTGCAAGGCCCTGAATTCAATTCCTGGTACAAAAACAAACAAACAAACAAACAAACAAAAACACTAGGAAATTAATCCCTAAAGTTCCAATGGGCATTCTCAAAGATAAAGTAACATAATATTTTCATGTTTTTGAAATTTCTTGATTTACATCATTCTCTCAAAAGAAAAATATGTAAATGGATATACAGATTAGACTAGAGGAGAAAATGCAAATGCGAAGTGAGGCTATACATATCATATTGAATAAAGCAATCATATTTGCTACATCAAGCATATAAGCACATCACAATAAATTCTCCAAAAAATAAAACTAATAAAATAATAATGATCAGTGTTTTCAGCCTTTGCACAAGACCATCCATAAATGTTTAGCCAGAGGCTGTATTTTACTTTTTTTGCGATGAGAGTTTGGGGAAATGCAAAAACAAAATCAGGTTTAGGTTTTAAAATATTCGCTCTACATGCTGCGGGAGAATCAACTGTCAGAACTCGGTGGCGTAATAATTTGAATAGCACAATAAGTTAGGAAGCTAAAGAGTTCTCCAGGGGACACAATGTTTTTTTGCACGAGGTTATTCGTGATAGAGATACAAGCAGAAAAACATTGCATATCTGGGCTTTATTTTCAGGTTGAGTTACCTGGATTGTAATGATTGTGTGTGTATAGCATGAGAGGAAAAGCATGAGGTAAGCAGGCGTGTCGGTCACCTTTCCTGTTGCTGGGACAAAACACCGAAAACCTGCAACACTGAAGGACAGGTTTGGTTTGGTTCGGGTTTTCGAGGTTTTGATTTATGGAGGACTGAATCAGGAACTGGAACAAGAGGGTGTGGCAGAACAAAGCTGTCCAGTTTACGGTTGCTGGGAAGCAGCAAAGGAACGTAACAGAAAGAGAAGGTCTGGGGACAAGAATATCCAACCAAGCTCACACCTCCACTCTAAAGCAGACACACCCAGGAGTGCACTTCATCAATTACTTGGTAGGCTTGAATCAATCGGGTTAGCAATCCACCTTCATTTTTCACAGAGTGCTAACTTCCAGCTTTTCCAAGCAGGATAATTGGGTGATGAGAAAGACTGCATACAGTACTTAAGTGGAGGATTTAACGGAAAGAGTAGGTTTTGGATGATATAAAAAAGGAATAAGGCAGAGCTTTTAATTTTGTGTGCTAGAATACCATTTATCAATTCTAGTCAATTAAACAATGGATTCAAAATTTACGGAAAATTTGACAGACATCTATAATCACAGTCCTTTTAAGAAATTATTAGAAATGTAGAATTAAGGAACAATTCTAAATGCAGGTAAGGCAAAACTGACATTTGACTACAGAGACAGAAAGATGCTAGTAAAAGCATACTTTGTTTCCAATAATAATTGAAGCAACTTATTCACTCTGTAGATGTGCCTGGTATGGGTTGTACAGGAAAATCGGTGAAGGGCCATTTTTGTACCTTAGAGTGTAGTACTAAGGACAAATATTTGTTATATTATTAATGAAAACTTTTTAACTCTATAGGAAGCAATAATAGGACAATTTTCCCGTGGGTGAAATGACAGGCTTCCCTGAGAAAAGGTAAGGCATAACTTGGTGATAAATAGTTCACATAATGAGGAGAAAGCAAAATATGTGGGAGGTTTTCATGCAAGCAAAAAAAAAAATTGCCTCTCATGAAATTAGAAAATTTTGAGTATAAAGCAGAATTTCTCAATACTGAGTAGCATAGAGATATTTTAACAGCATGTAATCAGTTTGGCTAAAGTAGTCTGCAGTGAAGGTAGGTGGTAAAGTGCTTGAATGTAGTTTCACAGGACAAGGAAAGGAGAACATTTGATAAATGTGTAAAGAAAATTCAAATGGAAAGACTATTGCTAAAATCTTGCCTGAAGTCCAAATGCTCTTTCCTTTCTGATGGTTAAAAATGTAATGCTTATTTTAGCACTATTTCTAGAATTAAAACCCAAAATATGATGACAGGAGCCCCTTAACATTCTTTTTAAAAAGTGGATTCCCTTGGTCCTTGAAAACCTGCTATAAAGTTACTAATTAATATTTGGCAAGGAATTGGGAAAGGTGTATATTCCCAGACATGCCATAAAACATCTAAGGTAGAGTGTGAAATCAAGGCTACAGTACACCCATTAATAGGATTTATAACTATGTTTTAACTTCGAGTGTAGGTGGAAAGAGCACCAGACAGCTGTTAAGAGGTTCAAAGTAGAAAATATGCTACACTATTCATCAAAAATAAGGCACTAGGGATATAGAATTTATTTTAAGTTGCTGGAAGATGTTGAAGAAACTTGGAATTGATATTTTGAAATCTTAATGGACTTTGTGATTCAATGGATAATCTAATATGATGAAACTCTTAGGAATTTGTGAAACGGGAATGTTTACTTATGAACAATAATATCATTATGTTTGAAATTTTAAAATATCAATCTAAACTAGGAAAGGAGTTTCAAAAGAATTTTTGTACAGAGAATCACTTAGGGAACACATTAAATGTAAGATTTGAAATTATGAACTATAAGAAGAAAACCAAAATATTTATATTAGCCTGGGCTGAATAATTTTTTGATTGACCCTATTTAAACAGAAAATCTAAGTAAAATTTGACAAGTGGAATTACATTAAACTACACAGAAAAATAAGCAACAAAAGGAGACAACTTACAAAAGTAGAGCTATTTGAAAACTATGCATTTGACACAAAGTGAATATACAGAATTTATAAGTTACTCCAAAAAGGCAGTAGAAAAAACAAAACAAAACAAAACAAAAACAGTTAAATTCAAAATGGACAATAGACTTTTGCAGACATTTCTCAATGAGCATATAACAATTCCCAAAAAGTATATGAAAAAAGGTTCAACATCCTCAGTCATCAAAGTAATAGTGCAAATCAGAACCACAATGAAATAATACATCAATTCAAAGAGTTTTACTATTACACAAAAGAATAATGATAATAAATGTTGACCAAAACAGGGAGAAAAGAAAATCCTCACACAAAGTTAGTAGTAATGTAAATTAGTACAGGTTCTGTGAAATACAATATGAGGTTCTTCAAAAAGATAAAACTGGTTGGGGATTTGTCTCAGCAGTTTCCCTGTCTGCTTCATAAGCTCAAGGTCCTAAGTTCGATCTCCCATACCAGAAATAAAAGCATTAAAACTATAACAATGGTGTGACAAAGCAATCCATCTTTTGGGTAAAGTCAGATAAAATAAAATCATCCTGTCTAAGAGACAGCGCACCCCCTTCTTACTAGCACCGTTATGCACATTAGAGACTTGGAAATAATCAAATTGTCAATGAATGGATGAATAATGACAATTACATGTGTATACAATAGTAGAATACTATTCAGCCATAAAAAAGATGCATCCTATTATTTGTGACAATAAGGTGGATGGAAGTGGAGATCATTGTGTTAAATTACATAAGCCAGGCACAAAAAGACAATTACTGTAGGGTCTCACTCATGCATTGGACATAAAGAAGTTAATCTCACAGGAGCTGAGAATAGAATGGTGAATACCAGGGAATAATGAGAGTAGGAAGAGAGAGACAGGTGTGACAGGCTGATTAATGTGTACTGAGTTGTAGGTAGAAGCAAGATGTTCCGCTGTGTTATTGTAGGCGAGCATGACTATAGATAAAAATACTGTATTGTGTATTTCAAATGAAGATTTTAAATGTTTTTCTGATAAGGAAATAATAAATGCTTAAAATATAGACATGTTTAGAGTTAAACATTTATTCATGTATCACAATGTCTATGTAACATAGATATGTATAATTTTCATAATCTTATATATCTGCTGAAATAGCTTATATTAAAATATTATTAAAGAGACACTCATTGATATAAAGATGGATAAGCACAGTTAGAAGCCTCTGTATATAATCTAAACATCATTTTCAACTGCAGTAGTTATAAAATTGTTTGGTCTACACATAAAGTTACATGTTACAAAGCAAGTAATGAATATGTAAGAAAATGTTACTTGGGAACTTGTCATCTATAAGAACAAATATGTTACCATGCATTTTTAGAGGATTTAATTTATATGTATTTCTTTCACAAAATTGAAAGCATATGTTTTACTAGAATTGGAGTAAGTTATTCTTTCGTGTCACTTAAAAGATATTTCTTCAATATTTATCAGTTCTCAATGATTAACACCAATTAGATAAAGTAAAAGTAATTTTTAAAAATGTACTGTGGAAAGTTCTAGAACTAGATAGAAATATATAGTCCTCTCAAATAAGCATCCTAGTGTGTGATCCCGAACGAATTCTCACCCAGCTGCTGACACACACATGACAACTACTACTTCACCGCTCCTGTGGCTGCTGCTACTCTCTCCTCACACTACTACGGTTATTAACATTAATAGCAGTGAATAAAGTAGCAAGCGATATCATTTACTGTGCCTTAAGCACTTTGCAAGGCATTGTCACTATGTTTATCTAATTTATTTTTTCATAACCACACCAAGTAAGTTTTATTAATATTCTCATTTACCCATAAAAAAATCTACCCTGGTTCACATAGTAAGAAAAGACAGCACCTGAACCCCAAACTGTGTTACCACAATGTACATTCTATTACAAGTCTGACCTTTTATTCAACATCAACTAATTTTTTTCATAATGAAAATAAAAACAGAGAAAATATAAAGGAGACCACATCAAAACATCTATAAAAAGCAATTTGAGGTTTTTTATTTTCAGTAAATTTTGCTGAATTATTTCTTTTGGAAATCAGAGTTAATATTTATCAAAAATGAAAAACACATTATTCTCTCTCTGGTAAAATAACAAGGGTAAAGTGAATACATTAAGACCCCACTGCAGAATTTCATAAAGTTTGTTTAAATAGCTTAGCTAATTATACAAATGTGAACGTATCAAAAGAGATATTGTTGGGCTACCCCTCTGAGTTTGAAAGTTTTCCATGATGAAACAGTTGTAAGGAGATTATGATGGGCATGGTGTTTTGAGACTTTTGACAAATTTTCATAAAGATTTAGTTAAGAGCTTATATTCAAACACTCAGAAACTTTGGAAAATCAAGGATAAATGATATCACCATGCAAAAGAGTGGCCCAGATAATTCTGCTGAGCTTTGTCACATATACTTTAGATGATTCTAAAGTCTCGTATGTTAATTGGTTGCTATAAAGGTAATACAAATTTGCTTCTACCAAAGAGTATATACTTGAAACTCAGTCCTTCACACACTCTCTGGAAATTATCTGCAGACACAGCTAGAGTGGTATCTTCTCCCTACTTGTGTCAAATCCATGAAAGTTATAGATTTTCTACAAGCAGAATAAATCTGCATTTATTTTTGAACAAATGGATAAATGAAAAGAGGGCTAAAATATGTTTTAACAAAGTTATTTCTCTTAACAGACAAAAACAGCAATGAGGTTGAAAGTTATAAAAGCTTTGAAAATCAACTTCCCTTTATACTGCTTAGTTAAAATGATTATAAGTAGGGAATAAGGGAGGAACAGAGTGAAGATTACAGAAAAGAGCAAAAGTTGCAAAGAAAAATACAGACAAACTCAATCATGAGGTCAGGTTACTCTATGCTAGTTTCTGCATATCGTAATTGTTTAAAAGTAGATAAGACAAATACCTATAATTAAATTATGTTTCAAAAACTTTAATTTTCTAATGTATTTTTGTTAAAATTAGCATAAAATCCAATAAAATAAAATGGCAATGTGTGATGTAAATAGGCCGCAAGGACTAAATTAAATTCTTTCTACTTAGTTTATCCCTCTGTCTTTTTTTTTTTTTTTTTTTTTTTTTTTTTTTTGTTCCAGGGACCAAACTAGGGTCCTTGTGCTTACCAGGCAGGCCGCAGATCCTCTGAGCTATATCCGGCTTCCCTCTTCTTTTTAAAATTAGTTGTGGTTAATATTAATACATTTTAACATGCGTTCTTTCATTTGTCTTAATATTTTCCTTAAATGAAAAATTTCAGTATCTGTTGTGATTAATTTATGTAAGTAAAACAAATGTTATTTTTTATTTAAATTTCTTTCAACTGATATACATGAAATCATATTATATATATTCATAGGTTACATGTTGATGTTCTGACATTTAAATACATAAGTAACATTTAAATCAATATTTCCAACCATTTAACCATTCATCTCACATTTAATAAGATGTCTTGCTTAAAAATTATGACTTCAGGGCCAGAGATTTACCTCAGCGGTTCTGCCATCTGCCTTGAAAGCACAAGGTAGATCCCCAGTACCAACTACTACTACTACTACTACTACTACTGCTGCTACTACTACTAAAAATAATAGTAATAATAATAACTAATTCAATGTGTTTACTGGTGTGCTTGCTTGCTCAAAACTAAATAAGAAGACTGAGGGTATATCTCAGTGGTTGTGGATTTGCCTAGCATCCTATAGGACCTAGATTCTATTCCAAGCACTGCAAACAAACCTAAATGAAAAATAGTAACTTTACTTCTGGATACCAGCTTTTGTAAGTAAATAGTCTTGCATAGAATTCTCTATAGCTAATTAG